TGACTAGGCTGAGTGAGCTGCCCTGTTAATCCTCTTTTTTTTTTTTTAACATGTGTGGCAATTATCATCATAGAATAACAGAGTTGGAAGTACATATATTTGGACTGTGGTAGTAAGAGGTAATGGAAACTGAAGGAGGGAGGAAAGAAGGAAAGGAAGGGAAGGGATGGCAAAGGAGAAGAGAAGAGAAGAGAAGAGAAAGGAAAGGAAAGCAAAGGAAAGGAAAAGGAAAGGAAAAGGAAAGGAAAGGAAAGAGGAAAGGAAAGGAAAGGAAAGAGGAAAGGAAAGGAAAGGAAAGGAAAGGAAAGGAAAGGAAAGGAAAGAAGAAAGGAAAAGGAAAGGAAAGGAGAGGAAGAGGAAAGGAAAGGAAAGGAAAGGAAAGGAAAGAGGAAAGGAAAGGAAAGGAAAGGAAAGGGGAAGGATAGAAAAGAAAAAAGGGAAGGGAGGAGAGGAAAGGGGAGGAGAGGAAAGGAAAGGAGAAGGATAGAAAAGAAAGAAGGGAAAGAAGGGGAGGGGGAGGAAAGGAAAGGAAAGGAAAGAAAGAAAGGAAAGGAAAGGAAAAAGGGACAAGAAGGGAGAGAATAAGGGGAGAGGAGGAGAAAGAAAGAGAAGAACCCAAAATAACTGAAGCGTCAGATGCGCGCCAGCCCAACACAGCTTCCTTAAACATTAATTTATCTTTTCAGGGACTCCGGTTTTAAAGTAACAATGTGTTTTAAAGGCTTTAGGTAGCCTTGGGGATCAAAATGGTTGGAAGCTCCCCCCCACACGGTCCCCTCCTGCATTTACTGGAGTGGGAGGTTGTTGAGATGATAAGGGAAATACACCCAACCCTGGAAAAGTTCGGAATTAAAATGTGCGTGGAAAAAAATGCACCCCAGGGGGGGTGCAGTTCCCTGCAAAATCAGAAGGAAAATTCTTCTTCTTTATTTACATTTCATATTTCTAAACTGCCCATTTCCTTCCAAGTTCTTCTGTTAGCTTAATGATTATCCCATCGAGTTATGTCTTCCTAGGAAAAACAAGGCTGTTGAGATGAAATTGCGTGAACAGAAAGATTTGTGTGTTCGGAGCTTGTCCCCTCCAAATATTCCTGTCCGTTGATGTGTTTTTTTTTGTGGATGTTTTTCCTTCTCTCCTTTTGATTTCGCTCCCTGACCAAGGAATTTATGACTCCTTTTTTTTTTTTACAAACGGCTTTCCATTGTGTAATTTCCTTCTCCCCTGCTTAACTCCAACATGATGACAAGCAGACATTATGGAGTAATGTTTAGGGATTCGGGAGGGGTGAGAAATCTTTAGACGTAAACAGTCTAGCCTTGAAAAGTCCAGGGTGAACACGTGAGGATCTTGTGATCCTGTCTGTGCAACCTTGCTCGTTCGATTGTGTAACAGAATAACAGAGTCAGAAGGAACCCTAGAGATCTTCTAGTCCAACCCCTTGTTCAAACCAATCCAGGCAAATCCGTTGTCCGGTCTCTTCTTAAAAACCTCCAGCGTTGGAACACCCACAACTTTTAGAAGCGATTAATAGTTCTCACTGTCACGAAATTCCTCCTTAGTTCCAGGTTGCTTCTCTCCTTGATCAGTTTCCATCCGTTGCTTCTTGTCCTGCCTTCTGGGGCTTTGGAGAATAGACTTTGGGGCAGCCCCTCAAATACAGGAAGACTGCTATCGTGTCACCCCCTCGTCCTTCTTTTCATCAAACGAGACATGCCCAATTCCTGCAACCGTTCTTCGTATATTTAGATACAGATAGATACCGATACAGATTAACAGAGTTGGAAGGGACCTTGTAGGTTATCTAGTCCAACCCCCTGCCCAAGCAGGAGACCCTACACCATTTCTGACAAATGGCAGTACAATCTCCCCTTGAAAGCCTCCAGTGATGAAGCTCCCACAAACTTCCGAGGGCAACTTCTGTTCCATGGTTTGGTTGATCTCACTGTCAGAAAATTTATCCTTATTTCCAGGTTGAATCTCTCCTTGGTCAGTTTCCATCCATTCTTCCTTGTCTGGCCTTTGGGTGCCTTGGAAAATAGCTTGACCCCTTCTTCCTCCCTGTGGCAGCCCCTCAAATATTGGAAGATGCTATCATGTCTCCCCTGGTCCTTCTCTTCACTAGACTAGCCAGGCCCAGTTCCTGCACCTCTTCATCCTATGCCTTAGTCTCCAGTCCCCTAATCATCTTAGTTGCTCTTCTCTGCACTCTTTCCAGAGTCTCAACATCTTTTTTATAGTGTGGTGACCAAAACTGGATGCAGTACTCTAGGTGTGGCCTTACTAAGGCTTCACTGGCAATTCTGATTTTACTTTTTATTTTTTAACTATATTTATTAAACTTTTATTACATTAAAAACATAAAAAAATGTATCACTCAACAACAGCAACAGCATGATGACAATAATTTGTGCATTATTTACAGATATTAAATTATGTGTAATTACATTCTTATTTATCTATTACTATAAATAATAACTATCTTTATCTCCATTCTATCTAGTTATATCATTGTTCCCACACCTTATAAAACATCGATGTCTCTTTATCTTTTAAGCTCAACATTTCTCTGAGAGGTATGAATGGCTGTTTCCAACATTAAGTAAAGGCAATTTTGGCAGCAGTTAATATGTGTAATAGTAAGTATTTTGTACTCTTTACAATTTTTTTTTTTGGAAGATCCCCAATAGGAAGAGTTCTGGTTCTAGATCGAATTGTTCAGCAATTCGGATTTTATTGTTGCCATGTTTTTCTCTCCTCAGCCAGCAGTGAAAAACAAACAGGGAAAGATAAGATACAATCCCATCCAGACCAGTTGCTTGCAAGACGCTGACCTTTCAGATGTTGTCAAGATGTCAGATGTGGTTCAAAGGTTTCATCGAGTGTGGAGTCAAAAACAGCCTTTCCAGCTCTAGCAATTATATATTTCTGGGAAAAAGGGTTGGAAAACACCCAAAAATTGAGCAAAAACAACATTTGTGTGAAAGATTTCTTCAGCCCCCGCCCCAAAATACAATAAATCCTTGACTTAAAGCCCCAATGGAGCCCCAAAGTTTCTCAACAATGAGAAACAACAGTTTTACAACAGTTGTTAAGTGAATCACGACAGTGGTTAAATAAGTCACACGGTGGTTAAGGGAAGTTGGCCGGGGAATTCTGGGAGATGAAGTCCACAGGTCTCAAAGTTGGCCTGATTGAGAAGGTCTATGGTCAAGACCACATTTCCCTTCGTTCTTCTTCCGATCTTCTGCATTGGGTGTTGGTGGTCCCTCATGATGGCCATGGATGTCCCATGGATCTACAGAGGGCCAGGCTTGGGGAAAGGTGCCTTGAGGGAAGTATCCCCCTTTGGGAAGGACCCCCTAAACCGAGATTGACCAAGATGATGGTTTAGAGAGAAGATCCGCGCAATCCAGGAGCGTTTGTGTGCCTGAAGTCAGAACTTTGGAGCGGTTGCTTAGGAACATACCAATTCTTCTGAGGTTCAACATCCATGAAGTTCTCTTCCCACACCCCCACACTCTTCCTGGACCTGATCTCCCCCCCCCCCACAACAAAACTTTCTCTTGTGGGGTGAAGTCTTTCAACGGGTCACCCCTTGTCCTTCCGAGGGGGGTCCCAGATGAGTGAGGGGGCGGCCATGAGCTCCGACTCTTTGCTCGAAGTGAAGATCCTTTTTTGGTGAGACGAGAAGAAGGCGCCCTGGGTGAGGGTGGGGTGGGGGGCGTCTTGTGGGTCTTATCCTCTTCCAGGAGGGACCGCTGAAGGGTGAGGAGGAAGGGTCACCCCAAAGCCTTCCGTAGGGGCAGTTTGAACATTTAGAAGGAAGGGATGGAGAGGCAAAGATCCACAAAGCGTGGGAGATCGGTTGGGCTTTTGGATTTTCTTGCTCCCTGCGTGGGGAGAGGTTTGTGTAGTTGTGTACTGTGTGTGCATGTGTGTGTGTAGATGAAGTAAGTAGATGAAGAAGCTGCTTTTAGGGTGGGTAAAATTTGTTTGCCTGCCTTCTTAATTCTGATTTGGAATAGTTGTTGGGACGGTTTGAATGCTTTCAGATCTTTGTTCTTATCTTGAACTGGGTTTTTTCTTAACTATCTCCTTCCTTCCTCCCTATCTTTCACTCTTTTTCCTTCCTTCGTTCTTTCTTTCATCCCTCCCTTTCTTCTTTCGTTCCTCATCTTTCTTTCTCTTCCTTCTTCCCTCCCCCTTTCCCTTTCTCTATTCCCTTCCTTCTTGCTTGCTCCCTTGATCTTTTTGTTCCTTCCATCTTCCTTCCTTTCTCCTTCATCTTCCTCTTTCTCTTCTTCTTTTTTTTCTTCCTCACTCCATTCCTTCCTCCCCGCCACTTACTGCCTGCCTGCCTTCCTTCCTTCCTTCCTTCCTTCCTTCCTTCCTTCCTTCCTTCCTTCCTTCCTTCCTTCCTTCCCTCCCTCCCTACATCTAGCTGTACCTCTTTTCTCCCTCTTCTTCCTTCCTTTCTTCCTTCTTTCCTTCCTTCCTTCCCTCCATTCCATCTAGCTGTACCTCTTTTCTCCCTCTTCTTCCTTCCTTTCTTCTTTCCTTCCTTCTTTCCCTCCATTCCATCTAGCTGTACCTCTTTTCTCCCTCCCTCTTCCTTCCTTCCTTCCTTCCTTCCTTCCTTCCTTCCTTCCTTCCTTCCTTCCTTCCTTCCTTCCTTCCTTCCTACCTCCCTCCCTCCCTCCTTTCCTTCCTTTCCTTCCTCCCATCCATCATCTGGCAAATTGATCTTCCATCTTCTTTCTTTTTTCCTTCTTTGCAGAGGTTCCTGAGGATCGAGAGCTCGGGTAAGTAAGTCCCTCTGTGTAGCGCCCCTCCTGCCTCTTGGCCCTTCCACCCCTTCTCCCCCCCCGGCTTCTCTCCCACTAAAATATCCCAAAATATTTCTCTTCCCTTGGGATGCCTAATTCCTTCAAGCCTTGATGCCTTTCGGTCCTTTTTAATATTACACAAATTAATATCCCTTCTTTTTAAACCTAACTGGTCAGAACATATTCTCCCTGTTCCTTCCATAAAGCTTATGGTGGACTTGAAAATAACCTTCCTTTTCCTTTGGGTAGGCTTTTTTTTTTTTTTTTTGGAATAATTACGATAATAAACACCAGCAAAATAATTGGCTAAGACTTGAATTGTTGACTCTCTCTCCCCCAGCCTTTGACCGAATATTGGACGCTAGATTGACCTCACCGATTATAATGCTGTGTTCTGTTTTTCTCAGTTCATGCAGATTAAGCAAATCTTAGAGAAAAAATTCCCGGACAAACTGGACATTGTAAGTGAGTTGTGACGGAGCCAATCCGGAAGGGGGTGGGGTGGACTCGGTGTAAATCCATCCGTGGTCTTTTAACGGTCCCCCAAAACGCTTTGTTCCTATCCCAAATCTTGACTTGGAATAAATCTGAGGTAAACTTTGCTTGCTTTCGGTATTGGACTCCAACCGTTTTAGCAAAGCACTCCGAAGCCCCCTGTGCAAGCTGTCCTAAATGAATTATTACAGTCAAATACAGGTCGCCCTCAGAATCAGGATAGAGCCGAAAAGGGGCTTTGAAGGTCTTCTAGTCCAGCCCCCTGCTCCATCAGGAGATCCTATCCCATTTCAGATGAGCGGCTGTCCAATCTTTTCTTTATAAACGCAGTGATGCAGCCACCGCAACTTCTGGTGGCAAGCTGTTCCCCTGGTTAATTGTCCTCACTGTTAGGAACTGAGAGTTCTCCTTAAATCCAAGTTGCTTCTCTCCTGGGTTCGTTTCCATGCATGTTTTCTGGTTCTTTGGAAAATAAGTTGACCTTCTCTTCTTTGTGGGGTAGCCCCTCAATATACTGGAATACTGCTATTATGCCCCCCACCTCATCCTTCTTCTCTCTAGACTGGCCAAAACCCAAATCCTGCAGCCATTCTTCATATGTTTTAGTCCGCAGGTCTTTAATCATCTTAGTTGTTCTTCTCTGTGCTTTTTTCCAAAATCTCAACTTAAAACAGCTAAAGTTAAAAAAACGGCACTGGAAAAAAAAAAAGTGAACGGTGACCGTTTTTCACACTTACGACCATTGCATCATCCCACAGTCATCTGGATTAAAATTCAGATGCTTGGCAAGTGACTCATGTTTACGACGGTTGCAGTGCCCCAAGTGTACGTGTGTGTGTGTGTGAGATGCAACCTCCTTTTGTGACTTTGGGGGGGAAGCCTGATTCCCTTAACAACCGTGTTACCGATTGAACAACCCATCCGGTGATTCGCTTAACAGCAGAAGCAAGGAGGGTCTTTGAGCGGGGCAATACCTGCTTCACACCACCGTCTCGCTCAGCGACGGACATTATCGTTGCAAGGCAAGGATTACCCGTAGTTGGAGAGATTGGCCTGGGGTTTCCCTCCCCCGCTTTGCATCCTCTGAGACCCAAACAGCTCACCTTGTTTTCACAACAGCCTTGCGAGGGAGGTCAGGGTGAGAGAGAGAGCAGCTGCTCTGAGGTGATTACACCTGATATGTCCTCTTTTTCTCTTTCCCATCACTTTGTTTCCTCGCCAGACGGGGGAAGTTGCCGAGGGTGGGACCTTCGAAGTGGTTCTGCCAGAACCTGACATAGTTTTGCATTCCAAGAAGGTGAGGAGGGGATTTTTTTTCTTTTGACTTTGGAAAAAGGGGCCAAAAACCAACACTGAACTGTCTGTGAGGGTCCTTGGCGCTCTCTGGGCTTGGTTTCCTGGCAGACATTTCGTGACCCAACTAGGTAATGTCATCAGGGTTAGAAGGGAGTGGGGTTTGTGGAGAGAAGGAGGAGGAGGAATAATCATAATGTGAATTCCTCGATGGTTTCTGAACTTGGTTGTTTTCTTGCAGACATTTTACCATCCAACTAGGTAACATCATCAGTGTTAGAAAGGAGGGGAGTTTGTGGAGTGAAGAGAGGAGGGAGGAGAAGGAGGAGGAGGAGGAGGAGGAGGAGGAGGAGGAGGAGGAATGTGAATTCCTTGGTGTTTTCTGAGCTTGCTTGTTTCCTTGCAAGACGTTTTATTATCCAGCTAGGTAACGTCATCAGTGTTTAAAAGGGAGGGGAGTTTGTGGAGTAGAGGGAGGAGGAGGGATAACAGAATAACAGACTTGGAAGGGATCTTTGAGGTCTTCTGGTCCAACCCCCTTCTCAAGCAGAAGACCCTGGGTTCATAATTCATGGATGGGGGCGGGGTTTGATCTCTTTTTATATACAAGATCACTTCCTTTAAATCAAGGCACTTCCTAGAACACTCCCATCAATCCTGACAGGTTGTTCCACTGGTATACAAACCGACTTTCCAGACTCTACAATCATATTTTTTTCAGCGAGAGATATATGATGGTTTGTTTTAAGGAAGCTTGGCTGTTTGCCCAACCCTTCCCATACGGATTATACTAATTATCATTATTATTATTATTATTGTTTAATATTCCCGTACCGAATCTGGGGCTGGCCGATCTCAGAAAACATCCAGACTTGAAGTGGGAAGCAAGGTTTGGGATTTTACCGGTTTGGACCAGTTCTAAAGACCCGGTTGTTATGATTCTCTGCGCAGTTTGGAGGAACCGGCGAATCGTGCCCCTGGCTGGCCCCGCCCCTCTCTGCCTGCCCCGCCCCTCCTTCCCAGTCCTTATCGAGCATGCGCGACATTGCCGGCTGCATTCTCCCCCCGCCCCGTCACTCCTTAAGGTACTTTCTCCCCTCTCCCAACGATCAGCTGTTCCGATGATCAGCTATGCCGGGATTCCCCCTCGCTGACTTACTGCTTCGCCCAGGAGGCCAAAAAACAAAACAAAAACGGGGGGAGGGTGCTGCAAAAAAGCCACGGCCACCCAGTCCACGCCCACGCCCACCTAGCCACGCCCACCGAACCGGTTGTTATAAAATTTTGAATCCCATCCCTTGGTGGGAAGTGGTGGAGAGCCGACCATTTGGCGGAGAGGAAAATAAATAAATAAAAAAGAAAGTCCACTTTCTTCTCCCCTACCCAGAATGGCGGTGGCTACGTGGACACCGAGGACAAGATAAAGGCCATCTGCGAAGGTATCAAGAAGTACCTCAAGACCAAGTCCCCGAAAGCCAGCCCTTTGGCCCGGAAACTCTTGAAGAAGCAAGAACTGGGCCATGCTAGCCGGAGACTGGAAGCGAAACCGGAAGCGAAACTGGAAGCGAAACCAAAAGCGAAACTGGAAGCGATTCCAGAATTGAAACCGGAAGACGAGCCGGAAGTGAAAGAACCATCGCGGACGGATTTGTCGCCTTCTCCAGAGGTGGAGAAGACGACAGAAGAGCTCGTCTTGACCAAGACCCCCAATGATTTAGACAGCCCCACCCCCAGGTACGAAGAAGGACCTGGGCCAAGGACCGGGGGGTGGGTGGGGAGGAGGGAAATGGGAGGAGGTTTTCGTGCCCTCTGGTGACCCCGGCTCCAAATTGAGCGGGGGGGGGGGGAAAAAAACCCTAAATGTCTTGTTCCTACAGGATGTGAAAGATCTCAGAAGGCAGATCGTGATGGGATCACCCGAAAGGAAGAAGGCGCCTGGATGATTCCTGATGTCTCTTTGCCTCTAATTTGCCATTCTCCTGGTGGAGGAGGCACTGTGAAAGAAAAACGGAAAATTCTTTCCATTTTATCACTTCCATAGGTTTTAATTTCATTACTTTCGGGGAGGAGGAGGAGAAGGAAGAGGAGGAGGAGGAGGAGGAGGAGGAGGGAGGAGGAGGAGGAGGAGGAGGGGGAGGAGGAGGAGGAGGAGGAGTGCAATAAGTCTCGTTTTGGTGACTGGGATCAACGTCGGAAAAGAAAAGAAATACAAGGGAGGGAGAGAGGAACGAAGGAAGGAAAGAAGGTAGGAAGGAGGGAGAGAAGATAGTGAGAGGGAGGGAGAGAGGAAGGGAGGGAGGAAGAGAGGTGAGAGGAAGGGAGGAAGGGAGAGAGGAAGAGGAGAGGGAGGAAGAAAGGCGAGAGGGAGGAAGGGAGGGAGAGAGAAAGGGAGGTGAGAGGGTAGAAGGGAGGGAGAGAAGGAAGAAAGGTGAGAGGAAGGGAGGAAGGAAGAAAAGAGGGAGGGAGGGAGGGAGGGAAGGAAGGAAAGAGAGAGAAAATTAGACCAGCCAAACTAGTTAGACCAGGGAGGATTCATTGAACAGATGAGCAAAATCTACTTTATTGTGAATCTCAGTTAACACAATTGTGTGAGTCTGAAAGTACAACTCTTCTGCCATCTCCTTTACATCCTGAGAAACTAGGGAGGGTCCCTTCTGAGCCCTTTTCTCCCCTCATTATGCAGCTGAGGGCTCGGCTGTCTCTTACCTGACTCTCTTGTGAGCCCCATCTCTTTGCCTCACATACCGTACACATACAGAACTAAACCTGGTTAAAACAGGATTGCCCACAGGGCAGGAAACTATGGAGAAGTCAGGTCCACCGGGAAAGGTTTGGGGGCCCAGAGATTTACAGCTTGTGGTCCTCACTTTGGGTAGATGAGAGCATGAAAGCCAGCTTGATGACTTCATTCGTTCGTTCATTCGTTCATTCATTCATTCATTCATTCACCAATCAGACTTCTTAACCATCCCTCTTCTGTTAGATGATACTTCTGGTACACGATACTCTTCTCTATTCTATTCCTCTCTTTTTTTCTTCTCTCTTCTCCTTTATTCTCTACTCTATTCTTCCCTCCTCTCCTCTATTCTGTTCTTTATTCTACTCCTCGTTTCTTCTTTCGTCTCTCATCTCTTCTCTATTGTATTCTCTACTCTATTCTCCTCTCCTCTATTCTCTATTCTATTCTATTCTCCTCTCCTCTCCTCTTCTCTTCTTTTTCCTCTCCTCTTCTTTCTTTCCTCTCCTCTCCTCTATGCTTCTGTCCTCTTCCCTCCTTTCCTCCCTCCTTTTTCATACACAGGTCTCAAACTCCAGCACCTCTGCAGGATCTGGACACACCTGCCTCTTATGGGATCCCTGGCCAGACCTTTCCCGCTGTCTTTGATTTGTGCCCACGCCCAAGTTCGGTTCCACCGTGACAGTGTGGATGCCGTGTTTGCAGAACACTTGCTTCACCCTCTGAATTACCAGATCAAATGCGGCCACATCGAGACAGACTACGTGGGTTGTGGCCACCAAGTGGCTGCAGCCGTCCAGCTGCCAGACTCGGAGCTCCCGCACGGCGGCCACCCCTTCCGTGGCACGGAGGTGTCTTTCCAGGAGCCACAGATCCAGATCCTCTGGCGTGGCTTGGAGGAGGACCAGGGCGGAGGCCCTCAAGGTAGGCCAGATCAACCACAGGAAGGCCATGGCGACCACCATCGCCAGCCCAGGATCCAAGTAGAACAGCCAACAATCCACAGAGAGCGGTTGCAGGATGTCAGATGTTCTCCAGGATAGGCACGGAGTTTTTGGGCAGGAAGCGAGACATGTGGCGTGTGCCAGGCATGGAGTCCACCAGAGGTGGATCGTGAGAGAATGCAGGAAAACCGCCATGGGTGCAAAACAAGCCACCATCCACCCAAGATAAAAAGTCCACCATGGTCCTGTGGCCGATGCGGTATTTCCCTCCTTCTCTTTGACCAACCAAGGTTGACTGTTGGTTGACAATCCGCGGCCCAGAAGATCTATTTGAGGAAGAGAATTAAGATTAAAGCCAGCCTGGGAGAACTTCATGCAGAGTGAAGATGATAAAATCCTGGATTTAACTGCAGTGGTGGGATTCAAATAATTCAACAACCGGTTCACAAAACTGCTCAGAAAGTTAATAATCAAGTCTTGTGAACCAATGCAAACCGGCTGAATCCCACCATTGGATTTTAGTCTCCAATCGCACATCCTGGGTCTCAAAGTGGTTTTACTTCTTCTCTTGCAACCAAGATATCTGGCAGCCATGATCGTCCCTCTGGCTGGTAAATGTTACAGGTCGTCCTCGACTTTCGACCACAATTGAGTCGAGTGTTTCCTGTTGCTAAGCGAGACCAGTTGTCCAATGAGTTTTGGTGTCCTGTTTTACGACCTTCCAACATACAGATAGTCCTCAACGTACAACCACAGTTGAGCCCCAAATTTACGTTGTCAAGTGAGAAATGTGTGAAGCAACATTTTACGACTTTTTCTTGCTGCGGTCGTTAAGCGAATCGGGATTCCCCACTGACTTCACTTGTCAGGAGGTCGCAAAATAGGATTAAGTGACCCTAGGACGCCGCGATCATCGTAAGTATGAGTCAGTTGCCAAGCAGTCTGGATTTTGAGCATGTGATTGCTGGGACGCTGCTTACAACAACAGTTTGTTCAAAGTTACAACGGCACTGATGAAAGGGACTTATGACCGTTTTTCATACTTAACAACCATTGCCCCACGGGCAGATTTATCGAACAACCATGTTTCTGCAGTGACTCCCTTAACAACGGTAGCCAGGACAGTCGTAAAACAGGGCAAAACTCACTTAGTTTAGTTTACTTTATTGTCATTGCACCTCGTACAATGAAATTAAATACCATCTTCAGTGTGCAATTTATGACTATGAAAATAAACACAAACACACATCCTTCACACTCCACACATTGAATTGAAAACCCCTGATATCACATTAATATTGCACTATACAGCAGAATTCAATAGAGTTACTGCCCTGGGATAGAAGCTGTTTTTCAGCCTATTTGTCCTTGTTTTTATTATCCTGTACCGGCTGCCAGATGGTAATAGTTCAGAAAAAAAGGGTTCCCAGGATGAGATGGATCTTTGAGGATGTTCTGAACTTTCTTAAGGCAGCAGGAGCTATGAAGCTCTTCCAAAGAGGGGAGAGGGCAACCCAGGATCCTCTGGGCAATGACCTTAACCCTCTGGAGCGCTGTCCTATCTGCCCCTGTGCAATTGGCAAACCCTACAGAGGTGCAGTGAGTTAAAATTCTCTCTATGGTGCAGCGGTAGAAGGTCACCAGTTTTCCATTCTGTTGTTGTTTCCTGAGAAGCCTCAGGTAGTATAATCTCTGCTCGGCCCTTTTGACCCCAGGTCAGGTCCTCTTTTAGGGTAACACCCAGAAATTTAAAACTGGCCACTTGCTCCCCTCGGTCTCCCTTGAAAAGCCAGGACTCGATGTCTGATCTGTTCCTTCTATATAGTCCACTATCAGCTCCTTGGTCTTATTGGTGTTGAGGACCAAGTTATTGTTATTAGCACCACAAATTTGGGGCTCAATTGGGTGGTGTGAGTCTAGAATTAAATGCAGTTTTTTTCCACTGAGGAAAAAAAAAGTTAACCCTTCCACTTGCCATCCCCTTCCCCCCCACCAACCCAATTTAAAATTAAACTTTTGGTCTTCGCAGGGCATCGGTTAAGAGCATTACAGCTTAGCATTATTATTTTTTTTGAATGAAGACACTGGGCTGGGCTTTTTCATCTCTGGCACACCCAGTACAAACTTACCTTCCGTTTCCTGCTTCACCGTTGGCACCAGCCTTCGTTTGCTACAGCAAGGCCCGGCGTCCATCTTAGCGGGCGCTCTCCAGGGCCAACCTTCCTGGGCTAGGTGGATGGGGATGGCCAGCGCCCCGATGCCCATCAGCGCCAACGGATGCCGGGTGAGCTGCGGCTCTGTCAACCTCCGAAGTGCCTCGGCCACCAGTGCCATGCACAACGCCCCCAGCAACACGGCGCTGACCAACCTGCCAGCCACGGGGGCTCGCGACCACCCAAAAGTGTTCTTCCAGCTGGTGTCAGCGCCCTCCGAGCCGAGCCGGGCATCCAGCACATGGACCGCCAAGGCCAGGGCACCTTCCAAGGTGTGGAAGGCGCACGTGTGCAGAAGCAGCGAGGCCGTCACGCGGCTGGCTGCCATCTCCGCCAGGAAGAGGGTGACCAACAGGTACAGCTGACCCATCAAGAAGTCTGGGCTGCTGCCCACCAGCCATGAAGGCAGGAAGGCAAGCGGCATCAACGGGGTCTTTCTCGAGCCAGTTGCCATCTGGAGCTGTCAGTCTTTGGCCCGTCGATTTCTGCCTGCCTGCAGCAATGCCAGGGTCTCAGCCTTGATGCCCACCCATCGTGTTCCTCCTGGCTCTTGATTTGCCCCTTCCTGCCCGCTTCTTATCAACGCCTGTCGGCCTCTCTTTGCTGGCCTCTCCGCAGCTTCTCCTTCCCAGGAGGATTAAACTGGCAGCTGCTGGGGAGTTTGGCAGGAGCGGCCGAGTCATGGCACTCAGCCTTGGCCGGGCTTCCAAGAGGCCATTCTTTTTTTTGATTTCCCCCTCTCTTCCTTGGACCCGTGCCCGGGCATCCACCAGCTGCAGAAAGATACCCCGTCTAATAAGTATGCATGGGAGTCTTGTTAGGAAAGGAACAGGCAGACCCAACAGGATGGGGGAGTAGCTAGTTGATTACGGAATCCAGTTATCTGGTGTGTATGGTGTGTCTACACATTTCATGCAGCCAGTGGTACACAACATTAAGAACAGGAAAACAGAGTTCGGAGGGACCTTGGAGGTCTTCTAGTCCAACCTCCTGTTCAGGCAGGAAACCCTACCCCCATTTCAGACAAATAGTTGTCCAATTTTTTCATTGAAACCTCTAGCGTTGGAGCATTTACAACTTCGGGTGGCAAATCATTCCGCTGGCTAATTGTTCTCACTGTCAAGGAATTTCTTCTTAGTTCTAGGTTGCGTCTCTCCCTGATTAGTTTCCACCCGTTGCTTCTTGTCTTCTGGTGATAGCTCCTTAGATACTAAATATATGTAATAAAATGCATTATACAAACAAATACTTTTCAATAAAACATATGTCTGTCTATATCTATCTCTCTATCCATCCATCCATTCATCTATCTAATCTATGATGTATCTATCTACCTATCTTTCTACCTATGATGTATCTATCTACCTTTCTATCTACATCTATCTCTACTGTCTCTCTCTCTATCATCTCTCTCTCTCATCTGTCTATCCATCCATCCATCTATCATGTATCACGTACCTATCCACCTACCTTTCTATCTTCCTTTATGTGTGTGTATGTATGTATGTATGTATCCATCCATCCATCCATCCATCATGTATCATGTACCTATCCACCTACCTATCTTTCTATCTATATGTATCTATGTATCTATGTATCTATGTATCTATGTATCTATCTATCTATCTATCTATCTATCTATCTATCTATCTATCTAT